CTCCCGTTGGAGAATAAGACACAGAAATGATAGGCCAGGGCAGTGTAGCGATGACCAAATCGACTTCTAGGCCACTGCTCGTTCTGGCTCGGCTAAGTGTCTGTTAACCTCAGTGGGTCTGGAGGAATTTAGCAGCAGGACCACACCCCCTCTGGTGTACCGCCCCAGCAGAGGGCCTGGTGTGCGGTGGCCAGTCCTGCAGGATCGATCAGGAGGAATCTGTAACCGAATAAAAGCACAGACCAAATGTTTAGCAGCAGACCGCGATGAAAACTACAAATGTGTATGCTGACCATCCGGAAGTCACCGGCGTTCAGGCAAGGGAGAGAGAACACAGCCGACATTACAGGAAGGCTGTCGAAGCTCCCCCAGACTCAGCTTCTCCATCTGTATGTCGGGGCTGATAGAGGTGTCTCCAGGATTAAAGGGGCTCATGGAGGCGGCTCTGCCTAACTGGTGCCTGGGAAGGATGGAATCTGAATTCCTTGAAGCCTAAATTCCGTTTGCCCCCAAGCTTCCAGCTCAGCTGGTGATTTCCTCCCTAGCTTATAATTAAATAAGGTAATACGAGTGAAAGTGCTTTGGAAATTCTAAAGCCCTAGACAATGCTGGGTGCTGTCATTGGTCTAGTTTTCCGGGATTGGCAAACAATCTGCCTTTTAGTATCCATTAGGCGCCTCCCTGTTCCTTGCTCCTTCCCCACCTTCCCTCCAGGGGTGGCCACAGTTTCCTTGATTTAAGCTGTTCCCACGGCAAGGAGGTGGGGGGTGGGTTCCCTCCCTTCCTCTTGAGATTGTCAGCTCCTTTTCTTTCGGGGCGTCTTTGGCTGAGTTCTGTCTTTCCCTAGAATACTTACAAGGAAAAGAGACTAATTCCCAGCATCTGGCTGAATGAAAATAATTACATCTGAGCTGCTTTGCTTCTGTGGCTCCAGCTCGGCATTCAGTAGGAGGATCAAAGGAAGAGGGTGGAGTCTGAGAGGTTTTTTTTTTTTTTTCCAACCAGAGCAGGGCTGTCTGCTCAAGTGAATGTGTTCTGCTAAGTAGTCGGATGGTGTGGACGGGTGGGGAGTAGCAAAGGACTCCAGTGGGTCACCAGCGTGCTTTGATAGGTTACGGAAAAGCTTTCCTTATCTAGGATTTAAACAAGAAAGTTGCAACAATTGGAATTTGATCCCAAATACTATTCAGTCATACTGGATGTTGACAACGATGAGCTTAAGCTCCTGAAGGGCCTCTGAATCACCAAAGATTTAATTATGTTCAGCAGTAAAACTATTATTATTCTGTGTAATACTGACCAACATTTGCATAGCCCTCACAATTGACCAAGATCCTCATGATTATAGTCTATTTGGTCCTCACCACAGGGCTGGGAGGTGGGTAGGAGTGAGTGCCTCCAGTTCACAGGTGCAGAGAGGTTGAAGTGACAGCTTAAGATTGCTAGGCGGAGAGGGGTTCCTGGGTGGCTCAGTCGCTTAAGCGTCCGACTTAGGCTCAGGTCATGATCTCACCACTTGTGAGTTCGAGTTCCGCGTCAGGTTCTGTGCTGACAGCTCAGAGCCTGGAGCTTGCTTTTAGATTCAGTCTCCCTCTCTGCCTGTCCCTGGCTCGCACTCTGTCTCTCAAAAATAAATAAACATTAAAAAAGTTTTTTTTTTTTTTTTTTAAAAGATTGCTCGGCTGCGGACCCCTAGTCCTCAGGGAGTATTTCCCTCATCCACAGTGCAGCCATGAGCTTTGTGGTACATGAAACAGGGGTGGGCTTTGTGATCTTTGTGGGGCCAGTAGCTTTCAGCAGGCATGGTGAGTGGCTGGGCTTCTAAAGAGAGCTCGGGGGGTGTTGTGGACGCACAGGTTGGACAGCTCCTGGCCCTCCCCTTCCCAGATCCTCAGCTACCCTTACGCCTGCCAGACACCCAGACCTGCTTTGCCATGGAGCCCGGAGGTCCTGGCCAGATAGCACGTCTTCACTGCCTCCCTGTCAGGTTCCTGTACACACTGGAGAGAGTGTGGCTCCCCTCTCACAAGCCTGGGGAGTCAAAGCTTCTCACTGCAGCTGCCCCACGACGTCCCCCACCCCTTAGGTATCACTAGCCCGCTCACGTGTTCATTCATTTTTTTCAGCAAACATGCTTTGGCTCAGTCCTTGCCACCACCCCAGAGTTTCCAGTTTAGTGCGAGAGACAGAAATGTCAACCAGCAATCACAGTACAGCAGTAGTCCTTAATTCATCAGACCCATTGCCTCTTTTTTATTTAAAAAAAAAAAAAA